CCATAGCAGAAGCTAAGGCTGTGGCAGGAAGTGTGAGACAAGGGCCGGTGGTGTGTGTCCTACGGAGAGGTGTCTGAGGTGCAGCAGACCTGCTGCTGGGAGGTCTCCGACATTCTTCTTTGTGGCTCAGAGACTGTATCCGTACAGGTTTTCCTTTTATCAGCCCTGTTGCTAAGCCTCCAACACAACAAAGTCCTCATTCATGTTTGCAGGATCTTGGGCGTTCCATCCATCCCTTGGCAAGAGGAAGCTGAAAATATCCATGGATGCTCTGAAGAAGAGAGTGTGTTCCTGTGGGCCCCTGTCACTGGAGATCTGGCAGTCCCCCTGGGTGCATGCCAGGAGCTCCAAAAATCATGCCCCTGACTCTTGCAAGTGTTGGACTGTTCCTTCCCCAGAGATACTACAGGCTGGGGGAACCACGTGTATCTTGTTCTTAATTAGGCCCAGGGCCTTTCTGTAGCAGTTTCTGATCTCAGCATGTTTCTGCAGTGTGTTTTTTGTAATTTGTGTGTTACTTTAAATGGCCCTGTCCTAGAAATAGCATCTCTAGTTGAGGCTCTGATATATTAGCTGTGTTTGGAGACAGGCGAAAGTCTGAGGTGAACTTTTACTCTAACCCAGAACAGTCTTTTTTTATGTTGGAAGCTGGAAAAACAGTGTGGCGATGTGTTTCCTTCACTCTCTCTTCCCCTCACAGTGGTCTCTGATTAAACCTCACGTTGTGCAGCTGTTTGGCTGTGGGGTACCACGCAGGGCTGGGTGCTGTCTCAGGGCGGAGGACCAGCCCCATGGAAGGTGGGTGGATTGAGTTGAAAGGGGGATCGCTTGCAGGTTGTCTCTGAGGCAGAGATAAGAGGAATGAGTACAAAAGTCCAGTTTCCTCCTCTCTTCCTGATTTGCCTTAATCAGCATCCAAGTGAGAGCCAGGAGAAATTCCCTGTGCGCAACTTCCTGTAGAAACTGTGGCAAATGGGCAATTTTAGGAGGTGGGGAGAAATGCCAATGAACTGCATCTGGCCTGTCTGCTTTCCTAAGACTTGACACAGGAGACCTCTCTGCTCCAGCTCATGTGATGGGGAAGAGCCTGTCAGACATGCTGGCAGGCAGCCTGGCGCACGTCTATTGAGGTGAGTGGCATGTGTGCTTAGGGTGCGGGTCAGCTTTCAGAATGGGCTGCTGTTGGTAAAACTACATCTATCTGCAGCTGCAACACAGCCTCTTGGTTTCTCTGCCCCCCTCCAGTACTACGTAAACCAGCTGCAGCTGGCTGGGCATTGTGGATCAGGCTGATGGGCGCTCTCGGGTGCATTGGGTGCCAAGCAGCGTAGCTGCTGTGCTGTATCACAAATGTGAGGAGCGTGAGTGCTGCGGGACAGCTGTGGAGCAGGTCTCCTGCGGACCATATGGTATTTGGCAGGCCTGTACTTTGGGCTGCCTGGGAGATCCTATGTATGTCCATGTTCCTGGTTGTCTGTAGCTGGGAATCTGGGATTCTGCAGGTTTATCTCCATTTTACAGCTCTGTGCAGGGCTGTGGAGTCCCTGACACAAGAAGGCCTTCATCTGTGACCAGAGCCCTGGTCACTCTTCTTGCTATGCCAGTACAGCCTACTTTGTCCAAAAGTCCCTTGCTCTGAACATGATCTATGGGACTACCCTGATTACACATGCCCAATTCCTAAATAAGTTGTAAAGTAGCTGTAATTTCACAGCTTTGCTGTTAGAAAAGCAAAGTGCACGACAGTCTCTTTATCACCATGTAAGCATACACTTTCTGGGTTTCTCTCTGCTATTTTTTACTTGCTATTTCTTTGATCGAGAAAGAGTTCACAGTTTGAGCATAGTTCTCTGGCTTTAACAAAGAAAGAATTCATGTTCTTATGAATATGAATCTCCATCAGTCTCTGCATCTTCTTCAGTCTCTGGGGTCCTGCTGTTCCCACACGGAGGCATCTCTCAGGCTTGCCCCTCATTCCTGCCTCGTGGCTGCACAATTAAACTCTCCTAAGAGCCGCTCAAAGTGTGTTTAAAAAAAATGAAGCCTCATGCATGAATGTAGGTGTAGGTGTGGAACAGACAGGCAGGCTAACATGGCTGCAGGCCTCTCCCTGCTCCCGGTGCTGCACCTGCCCTGGCAGCCCGTGGCGTAGCCTGGCCGTGCCGCTCCACCGCAGGGGGATGGATGGACAGAAGAGCAGACTGCCCGCAGCCAGCAGCGTTTCCTGGCCCGGGGCTGGTGCTGGGGCAGGGAGCCCTCAGCAGCCTGCAGAGCCGGCTCTGTGCATGGCTGGAGCTGTGGGCTTATTTTCTGTTTCTGGCATTTAGCTCCGCCGCCTCCCTCTGTGTGAAGAAATGTGGCCTGTGTATTTCCCCAGTTAACGGTGACATGCATTAACGGCAGTAAAAATAGTTGCTTACTCTTACCGGCCTTTTGAAATGAAGATGTGCAGAATTAGTATCTATTAATTTCTTTGTAATACTTCACAGCTTATTTCCTTGCTTTGCTTGCTATCTCAGGTTTTCCAATCTCCCGTGCTCCATCAATGCCTTATGTCAGGTAAGGAATGAATCTCCGTTCTCCTTTCGTGATGCCATCAGTGGCTGAAAGGACAAAATGGCCCTGTGAGCTTGCAGCTCACCAAGTAAAAAAAAGATTTTGGTTTACCTTCCAACTACAAGTTCTTGTCTTTCCACCCCCACCCCATCCCTTCTACTTGTGGTTTCTGTTAAGCCTCACAAGGTGGTTTTTGTCTGCAGTAATCACACAAAACCTTACGCATTTTTATATAAAAAGGGGAAGTGAATTCTTTGGCTAGCTAAGGGTGTTGTGAGCATTCATTAGCCAATGTTAGTGTCTAATCTCATCTAAAGAATTAATTATATGTGAAATTTGAGAGGGTTGCTCTTATGAGGCCGTTGCTGACTGATGACAAGACAGATTGTGCATGTGCTGTCATCTTTATCCTGGCTGTGATTTCTTTTTTCTTTTTTTTTTAAGCTGGTGAGGATGCGAGGGACAGAAGGAGCCTAATGGGACTTCATATACTGTGTGATGTATGGGGCACTTGCAGTCAGAAATATTGAACTCATAAATGTACTCATTTGCCCTGGAGTCACTGAGAGGGAGACTAAATACAGGACACCGCAATGTCACAGTCATGCAGAGTCACTTCTGTAACAACAGAGCTACAGTAGAAAGGCCGTATTTTTCTTTGATTTTACTGCAAATCTGTAAATGAGCTCTGTGAGGCTGCTATTGTTGGCTGGAGGAGGTGAACTTTTGCTGGATTTGGCTGTATGCAGACCCCTTTTGCATTTTGCTGTTTTTCTGAGATTCTGAATGTTTTGGGGCGCTATTTTGAAGCGACCCTGCGCATGCTGTCTGTTCTGTCTCAAGTCTCCACCACAGCACTGCAACCCTAAGCTCTACCAGCTTGCCCTTCAAGCATGAAGGTGAAATGAAGTTGAATGTGCACATCCGAGGCAGATGGCTAGTTCCAGTCTTGCAGTGGTATTTGAGAGAGATTTTCTTCATGTCGTTTCAGCAGCACAGAAGGAAATGAAAGTGTTTCTTACTGTAAATACTTTTCTTTCTCCTTCTTCCTCTGCACTGCTGTGACTGTCTGAAGACTCACTTCACTGCTTTTCTCAGAGAAGGCTATTTCTGTCACATCTTGGGTTGATTTAGGCCTGTCTTATGCATGCGTGATAAAGACAGGATGGTGCTATGGTAGCCTTGAACAAACCTGTAAATTTTGTACACTGGGAGCAGGAGGTGAGATGCAGTTGTCATTGCTAAGAAGTCAGAGGGGCCAAACTGCTGGCTGAAATGTGGAATTATCAAGTGGAGCCAAAACGTTTGAAAAACGGTGCAGACCACAGCACAAAGGGTTTAACCATTTCTCAGAAATGTGTATATACGTGTAATTCCACCATGTGGAGCTTCCTTAGTGGGCTGCGTTTGTATCTGTGTCCAGAGAAACAGCATGAAAGTATAAGATACCCAGCTGCATCCTGAACTGCTGTCACAGTTATTCACTGGTACATCTGCTAAGTATGTCTAAAAAAATCCAGATGTTGGCTCTAATGCTACGGCACTTTACTTCCTCCAGTGAGTGAGATGGTTTCTGCTGCGTTGCTTGTGTAATCCATCTGGGCACTTGGTGCAAAATGCCAGCATGCTTTAAGCCATCTCAACGAGTGCGAACAAAGTATCTGGCCCTGTGTGGCCCTGTAGATAACTGGTTCACAGCAGTTCATTAAGACTGGCTTTTCAGGCTTGCCTCTGGGATCTGCACTCCAAACTGAGCCAGGGTGGCTTTTGGGTTGCATTCAGTCTAGTTTTGCAATGCAATTTAACTTCCCGTAACCTTTATTCTTTGCCTGGGTTGGCTGTATGGAGCCCTTTCCTGCATGGCAGGTACCATTCGGCCCAGCAAAGTTCTGGCTGGCGACACAGCCTTTGGTACAGAGGGAGAGCCTTCTCCCACATCTGCTGCTGGTGAGACTCTCCATGGGTGATTGTTGTTGGTGTTTCAGAAAGTTAGCTGGTCTGCGTGTGCAGTGCGCTATTTGACTTGGACTGATTTCTCTTCCCTGGGTGGGGACGCTGTACTTCGATAAACTGGGAGAGGATGAAACAAATAGGTGTTTCGCCTTTGCCTGGCCTCAGCATTAGCATCTTCCTACATGGAGTGAGCTGAGCAGGAGATATGTTCGTCTCTTCTTGCCTCTCAGCCCTAGTCTCACACTTGCAGCTAGCTCCGAGGTGCAGGACTTTGCAGAGCACATTGTGGCTCACATTGGTTCAGCCTGAGTTCAGTCACCCAAAACCTTGCAGGTCTATTTTGAAACATCATTCAATCTGTCCACTATGGAGTTTCTTTTCTTTTTTTTTTTTTTTTTTTTCCCCCCTTTTACTTCTGACATCATTTCCTGAACGCTGTATTCACTGAGCTCTGTAGCCAGATCGTCTTCTCAGCATATGATGCAAGGAGCTCTTTAAAATGGATTTCAGCTTTCCTTTTACTCTGCAGTGCTTGCTGGTGATAATAACTGTTACTCATGGTAAGTGGGATTTTTCTTTATGAAGTTGGCACAGATTTGCCTAGGTAAGCAGACACCTTAATTTTGCTCCAAGATCTTTTAAAGGCTCTACCAGGTTTGGGGAGACATCAAATAGTGTAACTGCTAATGCATGAAAGGGGCAGTCAGATCAAAGTAAGACAGATTATTTTTTTTTAGTAAACGAATGATAACTAACAATATAGTACTTGCTCGGTGTACTGCGTCTGTAAAAGCATTTCAGCGGAGAATGTAAGGTCCTTGTACGCAGAACGCTGGCTGGAGGGGCTGGAGAGCAATGTGGTCCCGCTCCTAACGCTTGGTGTGACCTTGGGTTAGTCCCCAAGCTGCTGTCGCCCTGCCATTTACCCATCTCTGATTTGCCCACAGCAACTTAATAATGTGCAAGGATACGGTGAGACTTGTTCAAGTTAAAACTGCAACCTTACTCTTTGCGTAAACGCAGCTGTGCAGGCAGCAGTTGTTTTTGCTACCCTCTGTACAAGATCCACGGCGTTGATGTCCTGAGGGTCTGTCTTTGCACAGTCTCTCAGCTCTGAGGGGGGGTGGTAGTTGGTCATGTCAAATTTGAGGAGAGAAAAGACCATCTGCACAGCCTTTTGTCGCCCTGTGTGCCTGGTGTGTACACCACTCCCATGTTATCAGGGGGTTATTTGGCCTTTATAGGAGGCTTCCCACTCCTCTGATTTTCAATTACTGGTGACCCCAGCCTGTCATTAGAGCTGGGTCTGTCCCTCTTAAGTCTCACCTGGGCATTTGCCTTTCTGGGAGGCAGCCGAGAGGGGATGGATGGACACAGCAAGCTCGCTGCCCACGCTCTGTGCTTCTCCTTTCAGGCTCTGTCACCTGGACGGGTGTGCTCAGTGGCGGCTCAGCAGTCTTCTCTGTGGGAGTTCAAAGTCTGCAGAACCTCTCCAGAATGAACAAGAGGGACACGAGCTGCATGACGGCTGTCTTAAATGATACTTTGTTGGCCGAGTGTGGCACTTCGGCCAGCAGATGTCTGAACTTGCAGAATGGCTCCCTAGTGCTGAGGAGTGTGGAGAAAGAGGACGAAGGAAAATACGAGTTTGTTTTTCACAACACCACCAGATTTTTTACACTGGAAGTATTTGGTAAGTGGCCTTCTTAGCAACAAATAGCTTTTGAACTTGTGAGCCTGGCTCGAAGCTGGTGCTTTGAAATTCTTCCTAAGAGACTGACTGAGCTTGCAGAAGCTATAGGTGCCTCTGGAACAGCTTTGTAAGCCTCTGGCACCTCAGGGAGCAGTAATGGTGAGTGTAATTAAGGAATGCTTTTTGCATCCATGTTGTCAGTCTCTCCTGTCTGTTGAGCCTGCCTTGAAGTAACCAGTCAGTTGAGCTATGTGCTATTTTTCCCTGATGTAAGAGACAGCAGCATAAAGTGTTGGTGAAGTTGAGCCTGTGGTATGTAGACACGTAGCTGGAGATTCCAGTCTTCTTCCAGAGTGTTCTTCCTGAAGGCTCTCACAAAAGCTCTCACCAACTGACAACATTTTGCTGCCTGTGGACACGCTTCCTTAAGGAGTTAACCCTACCTGACTTGGCTCTGGAAACTGAACTGGACTTCTGTGCAGGTCTAGGTTGAGGTGTGCTGGGTTTTTCCCCTGGTTCGTGCAGCCGAGGAAAGGTGCTAAAGGAATCCGGGTGTGCCTTTCTGATTCTTAGCTGCCCCCAAGCAGCTTGGAAATTAGCATCTTCTGGGTCTGTTCAGAGACCAGCAATAGGTACCTTATTGTGACTCCCTACTGTCCTCCCTGTGGCCTCAGAATTGCCGTTCCCCTGCTCATCCATCTGCAGGGTGAGAAGACGAAGTCACTTCTGTACAGGATCCAGCTCATTGCTTGGGTTAATATGGAGAAGGCTTAAATGGGTTTGCCCCCCTGCTGAATAGTGCTCCAGACAGCCAGCGACCATTGCTCTGGTCCTCACCTCCACTGTTCCTTTTGCAGGGCTTTCACTTACACAAGCTTCTAAGAGAAATTGAAGCGTATGAAATTGTAATGAAAATGTCTGAGCAAACTGGTCTCAGTGAAGACAAATGAATCCTTACACCTTTTGGGTGCAAACAGGCGGAACTGCCACAGGGAGTAGGTCAAAGATGTGACTTCTTGGCACTAAGATCAGGGGCTTAGACTGGAAGTAGGCAAAGACTGCAGAAATGTCCTGGGTTAAACCCTCCATTTCAGTGGGTTTGCTTTGGGAACTTTTTTCTCCTCTTTGTGTTGCCACAGCTATGTCAGGAAAACAATTTCCCAGCAAAGGTATTCCTGGAGGCAGTGAATTCTAGCTGAAGATGATGTCCTAGTTGAAGAAAGTGATTTCTGAGCTTGTTTGCATAAACATTCTCAATATGACTCTTACGGAGACACTTCTCTGTCCGGTCTGTATTTGCAAAGTGGCAAATGTAGGAAATAGGTTGGCTCCTTGTAGTAGACTGAAAGAGAGAAATTTGGGAAAGGGTAATAAGATCAATGGTTCATTACTTCTTTGTAAATTGTCCTAGTCTGGGTCATCCTATCTAACTGCAGGTGTCTGGTGTTGGTACCTATGTTGGGCATTATTTGTACCAGTTCCTCTCTACAATGGAAGAAGAGGCAGAGTGACAGCAAAAATACAAACCTCTGGTGGAGGAGAGGGCTGAGTGTCCTCTGAAGCTACAGGTATCTGCTGATTACAGAGGAAGCCTCTGGCTAGCAGATACTTTGGGTGTTTCTACCCTCCTCTCAGATCAGGGGCTTTTATTTTTCTCTTTTTCAGTTTCAATAAGGAAAATTAAGAGATGCCAGATTTTTGTGGCATCCCCAAAATAGGGACCGAGAGTCACTAGCAGGGTTGTGTGGGCACTGCTAAGCATTTTAGGGATGGGGGCAGACACTGAAGAGTCTGGTTACTTATTTCTGTGCTCCCTGGCTACCAGTAAATGTGGTGGTAGTGAGACTGCCGGTAAGGGAAGCTCCTGTCCAGCTCATGTTCACTGCTGAGTCCGCTCCTCACCTCTCTCTTTCCTCCTTGTTCCCATTGCCCTGTGCTGCGTGTGACCAGAGCCGGCCATTGGTATCCAGTGCTTCCCTAATGGCACCGGAGAGTTGTCCTGCGACGTGAGCAGCAATGCGAGCATCAGCTTTCAGTGGCTGCTGAATGGCACCGCGCTGAGCGCCCCCGAGGCTTGTGTTAAGGATGGTGGGAAGAAGGTTCGCCTGGACAAAACCGTGCCCGGGGAATTTGTATGTGTGGTTTACCATGGGAACAGCATCACGAGGACCAGACCCGTTGTGCTGTCTTGCAGCTATGGTGAGTAACGGCATCTCCAGAAAACCTTCCTTTTAGTCTCTTGCAGCAGAAAACTAAGGACTTGTTGCTGTCTGCTTAATACTGGACTCTTCTGTCCCCTGGCAGCTGCCTTCCAGACTTACCACATCCTCCCTTTAGAAAGTGTCCCCTTGACTTCCTTCTCCCTCCTGTGTCTCGGACGGACACAGCCTACAACCACAGAAGGGATGAAAGTTTGTTCAGGAGGTCCTTTTTGCCCAACTCTGCAGCAAGGATGGATCTCTATCTGTGTGTTTTCCTACTTCCCAGAGATGGAGACCGTGCACCCTCCTATGCACCAATCCTCTATGCCCGTTTAGAAACATGAGCTGCTTCCTACTCTCTCATCCATTACCCAGACAGCCTTCCAGTTTCTGCAACATTCCTGTAAAAATACCTCCGCTAGTTCAGCCCTGTTGCCGCTGGACTCAGCTGAGGGGTTTTGCCTTGCTTCTTTTCTCCTTATCTAGGCCAGCCGCACAAATATTTACCAGTCTATACAAATGCCTCTCCATCAGCCCCCACACTATCAGAGGTGGGCTAAAGACGCAAGTCATTTACTTAGGAAATGCAGGGTTCTTTCCCTCCATGCTTGGATAGATAGTTCTGTGAGAAGGCTGTGACTTCATCCGTTTGCAAGCTATCCATAAATGCCAAGTAGTCTGCTTGAATGAGGCCATAGTTTAATGAGACATAAAATCTGGATCCGAGGACTGATCAAAACTGCCAGACCCTCATGATGCAAAGCACTGGTCTGTGTTGTAAACTCACATTTATTAAAAAAAAAATAAATTGGATAACCTTGGGCGTGGTTTCACTTGCATCTCCAGTAGTAAGGGGTTTTGTCCTCTCTGGCAGCAAAGATGCTTATCAAAACTACATCAGGGTGGCATAATTCAACCATAAGGTTTTTGACTAATTTAGCTGTAATTAATTTAATCACCTCTGCTACTAGAGAAACTGTACTGTGCAATAGCACCTAGCATTTTAGAAATTGTTTGAGATGCTCTGGCTCCACAGCAGATACTGTCTTTTCTTCTATGGTTGGCATACAGTTGGTGTGAAAGCAAAATTACTGACATAAACCCTGTATTGTGTGCTGGCATTCAGCAGAAATGCCGTGGGCTGTTTATGCCTGATCGTGTAGACATTGCTGGCCAATCTGTACAAGTTTGGCATTTGTGGTTGTGGAGCAGTGATCTTAATTTTGCCCAGCTAAATTGGTCAGAGGTTGTTCAGTGTACTCAGACCCAAGCTGGCTGAGGCACTGTGGAGTGAGAATGCAAACATCCATGAGCTGTTCAGTCAAGCCCTGTGATAAATCACACGAGTGCTGACAGTTACCATTGTTCATTCTGTGTGGCTGCCCAGTCCCCTGGGTGTGATATTGGTTCCCCATTTCCTCTTGAAAAGCCCACAGGGGAATTTAGTCATAGCTCTGTTGTGATGGACACGCGCATGAACACATATGTGGAAGGGTCTGAGAGTAAGAGAGTAGCTGTGATTCTACTTTTTAGTCACCAAATGCTACCACATCTGTAAAAAGTGAGCGGAAGCAATTCTGAATACTGGTAAAATAAATTGAAGAGAGCAATTAGTTCAATTAAGTTAATTAGACTAATTCATTTTTTGGTGGGTTATTATCTCCAGGCAAAGGCCTGAATATAATTTTTCCGCTGTAGGTATAAGATCTATGTAAAAACCCATATTTGGGCAACCTGTTGGCTGATGAAATTAATTTGGAATAATTGTTAGCCTAAAACAACTTGGCAGAAATACTGTAAACTTCCCAGGCACCAAAGGGCTCTGATTACACAGGACTAAAGCAGAGGATTCAGAAGTTAACAAGTCAACATCTATAAAAGGCTTTTATTGATTCATTCCTTGTTTTATTACTTGTTTGTTACAGATTTTTAACACAGTATTTTATTTCAAAAGGACCTTTTTAACAAGTGGAGAATTTTTAGGAAAAAATATTCAGGAAAAAATATTTCTAGTATATATTTATGCCTTTGACGATAGTCTCTGAGCTTTCATCAAAAAGGAAATAAAATTGTTAGGGAAATGATTTCTCATTTGCTGAAAGTTTAATTTTGAGTATAGATTTTTGAACTTAGTAACTATTCCTAAGGAGACTGGAACAAGTGCTCCAAAAATACTTTGAGTAGGTGTGATTTCACACACGGGAACACCTGTTTTTACTGTTCTGGTGAGTATGTGGACTATGACAGCATGTAGTATATCCTAGAATGTTTGAGATACTTTCCAGCCTCTGGGGATACGCAGCAATTTGTGCCTTTGGGGTCTTGAAAACAAGCTCCAGATGAGCCTGTTGGTTTCTGCAGCGCGCTGCTGTGCAGGCATGCGTGCAGCCAAAGAGAAGCCAAATGATTCAAAAAGGGATGGCGTAGGTTTACTGACAGAGTTTTATGGAATTTGTGTAAGAGCGGTAGTTGAGCTGTATGGGGTTTTTTCATATGGGAAGAAGTTTTCCTACTGGCTGTCCCAGTTTGGAGCAAATGGTCTCGGTGAAGGAGTGAGACGGGATGGATGTGTCTTTTTTTGCAAGTGTGTGATGCCCTCTACCAGCTTCCCTGCTCTGCAGCACCATACGTGCAATTCTGGCCTGTCAAAGCAACCCTGAGCAAGGGACTCTGAACTGGGTAATAATTACCACTGACTTGTGTGTGGCCTTCTGCTCAGCCATCTGTAGCCTTCACCTCCTGCTAGGCATTTTGCGTGATCTCGATTGGGAAGAGGAATAAAGAGAAATCTTTCCCTGAGCAGCAGTGAGGCTGGTTTCCTACAGCTCTGACTCAGGTGGCTGGAGTCTCTGGTGCCTGAGGAAATGCCGTCTCCGATCAGACTTGCTTTGAGGTTGGTGTAGTCATTATATGGCTGTCCTAAGTGGATTCTCTGGGGCCTGATACAAGCTGTAAGCGCAGACTCTGCAGCTTTTTTTTTCAGCAGAAGATGCTAGCTTAGATCTCCCTCTTATTCTCAGCTGCCCGTTCTCATAAAACTTGTTGAAATGTAGTATCTTTCAAACCACCACCTTCCCTATTAAATTTTATAAAAACTTATGGGTTATCTTAGACATTACTGGTCAGAGTAGGCAGAAACCAATGCATGCTGCTTAGTCACACATGCCTCTTAATTAAAAGTTCCATACCATAATCAAATGACGTGACACAAATGACGATGTGCCACAATTCACAGTATCAGCTCCCCGATCCAAAGCAACAGTAATGCCCCCATGCTCTAATATGGCTGTAGGGTTTCTCCCATTTGGAGAAAGAAGCTTGTTCACCCTGGTAACTAACAGTGCCATGTCCGTCTTGCAGGAGACCTGCTGCAGTACCCGTGGTTCATTTACATCCTGGCGGGGTGCGCAGGGGGTGCGGTTATCCTGGTGGTGGTTGTGTCCTCAATCATATGTTGCTGCATGAAGAGGAAACACAAGTTCATCCCAGTGCCTTCAGGTGAGTGGAGAACACTGTTGCCCCTGGGAATGAGTCTCACAGAGAACTGTATGTGTGCAGGCTGGTGTTGAAATAGCCTCAGCATAAATGGGTCTCAGTTGGGTGGCTACTTGTCTTCTAGCCAGACCTCCCTTGACCTGGTGGAGCAGGAAGCTCCTTGCTGATAGGTAACTGTTAATGATCAGCAGGGTCTTGAATTAAATCTTGCTTTTTCTGTTTTCACCTCATGCTTGCCACCATGTGATTCTGGCCAGAAAGAAACACAGCAAAACCTTTTCTATGGGCAAGAAAATTGAGCCTCATTCAGGTCTGATCCTGAAATGACCTGAAGGCTTCGGATGGCAGTTCTTTGTCAGCACCAGTCCCTGAGTGCAATCTGCTCATGCCCAGTGAGACCGCCTCAAGTTGTGACCCTGCCAGCATGGCCAGGCTGGTCTCTGACAGGTTGGCAGTGGCCTTCTGCACTTGGCATCTGTCTGCTCTGGGAATGGAGCCGGTGCCGCATGAGGAGGAGATGCAAGCATGTGTTAGTGGTTCAGCCTTGCAATGAACGTGCTGAGGCTACTGGAGTGTGGGGGACGTCTTTCCTTCAAGTCTCCGATTTTGGTTTTACAGAGGAGGAGAAAGATGACGGACTAACGATGTCTGTGGTCTCCAGCGAAGGTGTGAAGAGCCCCCCCAATGGAGACCATGTCGAGGCTCAGGCTGCCCAAATTGACTGCCCTCCAAAGCCTGGTGGGTCCAGTGACTTATTTTAAGTCAGACAGATAGCTTGTTTATGAGGGTGAAGGACTGAACAGATGTGTGTGGCTGATGGGGGAGGAGCCGACTGTAGAGAGGGGCCTGGGACTCACTAGTGCAGGGAAGGTGCTGCGTCTTGTCCAGACAACAGAAATTGCAGCAGGTCATTTACAGTGCCTTGCTTGTGCTCAGCTTCAGCACAGGAGTAGCTCTTGCCCTCATCCAGCCATGAGATATAGCAGCAGCTGACACATAAGCATCCCACAGAAGATACTGCCAGCATACTGTATGTTCCAGTATCACCTGTGCTAAAATACACATCTCAAAAACCAGAACACCCCCCAAACTTAGCAGTTTTCCTGCAATTTTATCACACACACACACACACGCTCATCAGTAACACTTTATAAGAATTGGCATTGGTTTTGTAAAGCAGTCATCTTCAGGACAGCTTCCACCAATATGCTGAGCTGTAAACATAGCTAAATCCCATCAGAGGCTTGTGTATTTCCTTAAATTGGGGATAAAGTAGGAATATGGTCACATTTTAAATCCTTCAAGAAAATTGAGAATAAAACCCAACAGCTTTAGCATGGTATGGTCAAGAAAAGGCAGTGATAAAAACCTTTCAAAAATCTCCTGTTCTGTGAGTGCTTGATACTAATACTCCACTTTTTGCATTCTGTTTCCCTCAATTTTGTTTCACAAACACAAATGCTGGCAACACTTTCCCTAGTAATTGACCATCATCATCTGAAGTAGGTCTAGCAGAGGCGTCATGAACCCAAGCAACATTACATAGGTCATAGCCTGGTCTCGGCACTGCTGTCTCCACTTCTGGTGTCCTTCACTGTACCATACACAGCCTCTCAGCAGCTCAGATATGCTTTGTCTAACCTTGGATGCTGCTTTGCTCTGCTTTCAAAATACTAAATGCTACTCATGAACATGGTGCAGGAAAAAAAATATGTAAGTAAGTCATTCAGGTCATTGTTTAATATTAATATATTTAAAGTGTAGATTTTTTTTTAATAAAAAAATTACACATTGTCAGTTTGACTAACAAATTATCCCATATTTAAATTTTCTACAAATAAGTAAAAAACAGAGGTGCATGTGGGAAGTCTTTAGGTAAGAACATACTCAATGTGTGCCATTAGCCAGCTTTAATTACTCAGATGTAATTGAATAGATTTGGCTTTGGTGTCTTGGTATATTTTGGGCAGTTGAGCACAGAGCGCTTCAGCACCAAAGTGGCTAAAGCTCAACAAAGAAAATTGAAATATGGTTTGCAGGTGCCTGGGGAGAGGGTACTGAGTGGGTTAGGCAGCCTGCAGCATCAGGGACTGAGGGGAGGATTTCTATGAGGGTGAGCATAGCATGGGCACTTACAAACCATTTCTCCCTTCTTTCCAGATGCTGCCCAGACTGGTCAAGGCATTGATCCCCAGCCACTGGTGGAAGAAAACTTACCAGTGGAGAGAGAGCCTGAGGAAATGCCAGAATCAGAGGTCATAGTTGATGTGGAAAGCCAGGAAAATGCCTCGGACTGTTTCCCGGATCCAGCTGATGACTGATCTGGCATGCTTGCAGTTCCACACTGTCTTGAAGCCTGCAACACCCGTCCTTTGCATCCCATAGTCTCATTGTGTAAGATGACTTCCCATAGTGTAAGAATTGGTCTGGAAAATTTTAGCAGGGGAAAGACATGAGGTGTCAGGCCCACCAACCTCATTTAAAAAAAAAAAAAGAAGAAAATACAAGGAAAAGCACACGTGTGGCTTCAAGGCCACACTGCTGTGGGCTGACAGGTTCACTAGAAAAACTGGGCAGCTCTTTGATACTTCACCTGTTAATAGACCTGCAGCTAAACTGTGGAGCTCTAGAGGACAGCCTGAAATGAGACAGGCGGTTCCTCCTGCTCCCTGCCCACCCCGCACCTTGCCATGTCTTTGCCAGCCAGCCGTTCCTGCAAGGGGCGAGCATGACAGGCGGGGTGAGGTGGCCTGCCAGTCCCAGACAGAAACCAGGACCTGCCAGAAATTTCCTGAGAAAGCCTCTTCTCAGGAGATTTCAAGGCATTTTTCACAGGCCTTGCAAAAAAAGCTCGATGGAGGTTTCAGCTAGGTATCTGCTGTGCCGGGTGTTTATCTGAATGGCTCCTCTGAGCTCCAGACCCTTTGTGATTTGGCCCTCACCTCTTGCTGCGTGGGGCCAGGAGTGGTGGTAGGGGCTGCTGCGTGCAGCCCCTGGGAGGTGACGCTGGCTTGCTTGCCTTTCAACGCCCTGTAATGGCAGGGGGCTGCTGGCTGCCTTTCGCCAGAAACTAACTGCTTGTGTTGCCAGTGAGTTAAAACAGCTCTGTCACTAGCTTGCTTGCTTGCAGCAGAAGGGTGCCTGGGGCTTGGGTGTGTAATTTTGGCAGAAACGTTGATTATAATGCTGAGTTTGTTCATCAGTGCAAGCATTAGTACCTTTAGTGTAATGGTTTAGCTACTGCAAGCTGATTAAGCTGGCCATCTGCCTGCGCATGTAAGGCTTTTTCAGTACTGTGTTATTTGCACAGACAGCAGCAATTTATAGAGTCTCTTAGGCAAGTCTTGCTTGCTATGTGCATCCTGTTCTGCTCAGGGGAGATTTGCAAGTGGAGCAGCTGGGGTAGACCTGCAGGGAAGAAGGACAAGGTGAGGAGAGGGCAAGGACTCAGTCTCAGGCAGCAGGTAGTTGAGTCCCTGGCAAAGCTGCCAGGGGCTGCAGGGCTGTCAGGCCACAGGGAGTGCTGCAGGATACACTGCCAGAGCAAGGTATTTACTGCATAAGTGCATTTTGGTAGTCAGAAGCAAGGCAGGATGGTATTAAACTAGCCCAGAGGGCCAGAAAGGCATGATAGAGTAAAATCAGAGATGGTACAGATCGGAGCTGAAAGGGATAGGGAGGTGTGTATTGCATTCCTCTCTTCCCTTGTCATTTTGTTCCTGTTTTATATTGTGCTGACATTGTGCCATGAATGCCTTGGAAAGGGATTTACTGTATGCCTTGTAAATGCCACCCATCATGGTCTGCAAGTACCCCAGCAAAATCAAAGCCAAGCTGAACGCTTCTCCCCCAGGCGGGGGAGCTGGTGGGACGCCTGCATGCTTACCTGGGAGTCCTTCTTGTCTGTGTACATGGAAAAACTCTGCATCGGTGATGCCCAGCCATAGGTGGTTGTTCTTGTTGTTTCCTTGTCCCGTGACTCTGTTTAGAAGATTTTTTGGATCTTGTGTGCTGTGGTGGTGGTGGTGATTCAGCCTGTCTCTGCTTTCTAAGGCTGCCGTAGGAATCAGATTTTCCACAGTAAGAGGGAGATAATAACTCTTTTCCTCATGGTGCTGCGCTATCTCCTTTCAGTACAAACATTCCTCAAAGGCTGTGAGTTGGATGTCAAAAAGGTGACACCGAGGGCTTGGGTGGCAGCTGCCTGCAGGCAGCACAGTGGCAGTGATGCTCGGTGAACAGGAGCCAGTGTCACCGAAATGAGGGGATGTAGTCAGCTTTGCTTCTCTTCTGCACTTTCTGGCAGGAGCAGGCAGGGGACAGTCGACTCCAGTACATGCTTTGAAGGCTGAACGGTGCTCTGAGCTGCACCGGAGAAGATGCCAGCGTTTTGGGTGCTGAGGTGACAGAGCTGGGCCAGCCTTGTCCTGCTGTGCTGGTGCGTCCTGGCTCCAGTTTGCCCTAGCGCTGCCTTGCTGCTGTCAGCCCTGGGAGGGCCGGGGGTGCCCTGGCAGCTGATAGCACCAGCCCTGGTGTAACCCCAGACTGGGAAGGATTTTTCCCATTGAGATGGCAATCTGAGACTCGAGAGGTCTTTGAGGCAGATAGGACATGGCTGGTTTTCTAGCCTTCCCTGCCGAAGTTGCCGTTCAGCAAGGGGGCTGTTACTGTGAGGTCAGGAGAGAAGTCGTGCAGCCTGTGCTCTTCCTTTAACTGTATGTGTTCATGCCCAGCTACTGTTCTTTTTTGGTGCCTTTTTTCTTTTCCCATGCAATGATTTTGTTCCTAATAAAAAGATCTGGTTTCTAACTTGTTTTGGAAATCTTTAAGCTGTGTTATTTAATAATTGTTTCTTTATGGTTTTCACTTAAAGTACTGACTGGTTTCCAAATTTTCACCTGTCCAGGTAAAGGAAAGGTGGTAACATGTTACTGCTGACTAGGGCTGACTTGGGTAGTCTCGGGAACAGATCACAGGGACATTTGTTTGTAAGTCGTGAGTGAGTCCTGGAGAGGACAGTGGCATGTAACTGGTCCCCATTGGAGTGCGTGTTCTAATGTGCCTGCACACCCGTGTGCACCAGCAGCTTGCCGAGTCCTGCTCTGGTACCTTGCCCAAACTGTGAGGTGCAGGGAAGGGGCACAGGGTAATGGTCTTGTTTTACCCATCTTTATCCATCTGTACATTTTTGTGGCATCTAAGCCACCTTAGCTGTGAGAGAGGATGCTTGACTGCCTAGCTCCTTTTGCAAGGAGGAGGTGACTCTCTCACGCTCACCCTTAGACAAGGAGGCCCAGATGGTGGGTAAAACTGATGGTTTGTGATCATATAAAATCTTTACCATTACAGTGGTGTGATTGGATGTGGGTCCTGCAGCCTGTGAACCCAGCACCCCAAGGAGCCACCTGCCTGAATTTGCGGTTGTTTTCCAGCCTACGGCCTGCATCACCCAGGCAATAGTGAGGATAATTTTCAGGTCTGGGGCTATCTGGCAGAGTAATGGGTATGGATGTGCATGGTGTTATCTGGAATTTGACCAGAAACAGAGATGTCTGTGCTGCCTCTTCAGGGCTTCTGGTGGCCTTGGAGAGGCTGTGCTGTGCCAGCCCTACCCTCTCCGCATTGCTGAGGGAGCCCTTGGTGCTGGGGTGCCTCTGGCCTCTGTGGGGAACTGGTGCTTTCCAGAGGAGGGGAGCTACATGGAGAGCTGCTGGTCACACCATCCTCTCCGGCCACGGGTCCTGGCTGGGGAAAGCTGGGAGTGGGGCAGGGCCCACCCCTCTGCTCATCGGGTGCTGGCGGGACAGGGGGAGCTCTGCTCTGTGGGAAACACAAATGTTTTGGGATGTGGTTTCTTCCCAGCTGAGACAAACTACGAGTGGCTTATAGTACTGTACAGAATGGATGTTTAGATTTGTATCCATGTCAACGTTTCGTGGTGGGAAGAGAAAAATTTCCCTCTGCTTGTGGCATATGCTAAGCAACAAGTGACAGGAAATGTAATATGTAGTCTTCTCATCACGTAATTCATGCAGTTTATGAACATAAAAGGAGAACAGAGAATGATCTTATTTGACTTAAGATATAGGTGAAAGCAAAACCAGAAGAGAAACATATCACTTTAGATTTTTTTTTTTTTTTTTTT